GAACCTATTGCAATAAAACGGCAATTTCATACTTTAACCCCTAATATTATGTTTTTCTTTTTGCTTAAAGTTATTTAATTTTTACCCTTTCGGAGGACGAGTAGTGTTTATTGTAGTTTAGTAGATTTTATAACACGCTAAGTGTTAAGTCGAGTTTCTCCTTCTTTTATTTAATACTTAACGTCGTCTAATACGCATTCATCTGTTCGGATTGGCAATGTGAGACAATTTGTTTATTACGACTAAATTATATGTGTTAAAGTAAAAAAAAAAATCAATAGGTAAAATAAATTTACACTTGAAACCGACACATTTAAGCTACAGCTCGTTCACTACGCTGACTTCCCTGAGAAGAACAGCAAGAAACTCTAAGGCTTGCTCTTTTCAAATAAACTTAAATGCTATGGAATACACTTTGAATGAAATTTGTGTGGAATCCAGAGCCATATCGTCTTTCCATACATATTTATATAACACTTAGTCTTCAATTTTGTAATATGACTTTTTAATCAAAATATTATTAATGCAGTTCTTAAACCTAGGAAATGATAATCTTTATATACCGGAATCGTATTGTAAAAACGTATACAGTTCCCCATAAAAGAGTCGTTTACCTTAGTTAAACGAAATTGTGGTACCATGAGTTTGGACTTAGTTCTAAGGTTAATATGTATTATGGATATCTTCTTTCTTATTGAAATTATGTATATTTATACGGGTATACAAAACATTATGGCTACAGCCATCGAACTACTATTCAGCTACCATTGCAATTTTTTGGTATTCTACTCTTCAATGGCTTGTCGATTGGCTACTTGTATTCGTTAATGGGTATTTGATGTACTTGGAAAAACATTTGACAAACATGCAAACACTGACAAATGTAACCTACACATGGAGTCAAGTAAGGTGTTAAATTTTCGGTTTATTTGTGTATTTGCATTATTTGGTTCCTTTGACGTGCGTCTAGAAACCGACCAGCCTACGGTGGTGTTTGCTGTATTTGTCAAAAGGGCAAACAAGGGAAATCTTTGTAACACTTGCTATCTACACATGGTGATTGTTTGCCTGAATATATCAAATACGCAAATGCAAATAGCCACGCAAAATGCCACACATTATTATATTAAAGTTAAAGACTAAATTGCTGCTTAAACACAAATATATAAACACATATAGGCAATATGAATTAGTGATTGAACGGATGAATGCCATTCCACTGACAATTTAGTAAGACTTAAGGTCATTGCAACTAGATTTTAGCAGAATAACAATATTATCATAATTGCAGTATGATCTCGGAATCTTTTTAACCGCCGAACGGTTACCATACTGCCACGCAGAGGTCCCAGACTCGTTTCCCGGCCGGAGAAATATTTGAAGTACTACATTTATTTATCTCGTGAGTTCAAGGAGTGTATTTTTTGGTTATCTATGTGTATGTGTATGTCCATGGCACCGCGACATAGGGTTTCCCTAGTGCGGGGCTATGTTGAGTGTGTGCGTTATGAAAAAATTTAGTTTAGTTATCAGTAGCTTCAAGAACATTAGAAGGCTGGAGGTTCAGAACTACTGCACTACCGCAACAACCAGCTTTCAAGGTTGAACGACCTGACTGCTGCCCTAGTGTATAAATAGTTCGAAAAGGCTACAAGCACTGTCATTAAGTTACATTACACAAAATGCCTACTGTCACAACATTGGGTTTCATTTACAAAGTGGCTATTATTCTTTATGTGGTCGCGTAGCAGTGCTATTAGTTGGGTCGCGTCCATCGTATAATGTGGTGTAATTCTCTTTGTACCTAACCTATTGTACTGGACATAGTTCATGTAATTATCCGGGATGATCCTTTGAAATTGAATTGCGTAAATCTTGTGGACTGATGGAACTTGGCGCTTGAGTGAATTTATCTTCTATGGCTACTATCTCACCACTGTGTTCCCGAGTCGCAATTGTTTATTGCTTCTCTGTGTCTTAGACCATTTCTCTTGCCTGTCGTAACTAGAGTCATGCAAATTTCTCTGGGTATCGTAATATCGGGTTTGTAACGTCGTTGCAATTCGATGTTCATCAGAAGCCAGTTGAAATTACTTTTTACAATTTAAAATTGTTTTGCATACAATGTCAAAGTCAAAATTTATTCCATAGGTAAAATAAATTTACACTTGAAAACGTCACATTTAAACTACTGCTCGTTCACTACGCTGAGGCTTGCTCTTTTCAAATAAACTTAAATGCTATGGAATACACTTTGAATCAAATTTGTGTCGATTCTGGAGCCATGTCGTCTTTCCATACATCTTTATCTAACATGTAGTCTTCAATTTTGAAATATGACGTTTCGATCAAAATATTTTTAATGTAGTTTTGGAACTTAGGAAATGACAATCTTAATATATCCTCCGGAATCTTATTGTAAAAACGTATACAGTTCCCCATAAAAGTGTCGTTTACCTTGGTTAAACGAAATCGTACTACCATGAATTTGGACTTAGCTCTAAGGTTAATATTATGGATATCTTCTTTCTTATTGAAATTATGTATATGTTTACGAGCACATAAAATATTTGAGTAAATGTACTGTGATACCACAGTCATGATACCAGTCTCCTTAAACTTTTCTCTGAGAGAAACCCGAGAGCCTAGACGGTACACAGAACGAATCGCTCGTTTTTACAATACAAATATGGTTTGAATATCTGCCGCTTTACCCCACATGAGAATCCCGTAGGACATTATACTGTGGAAGTAACTAAAGTAAACTAGTCTAGCAGTACTAACATCGGTAAGCTCACGTATTCTGCGGACTGCCTATGCAGCGAAGATATACGTGCACGAGAAGCGTGTTCGAAGCTAGTTTGTTTTGAATACGCGCGTTTGAATCGATTCAACAACAAGATCATGTAGCAATGCTGAGGAAAGGGGTGGAGGGACGTGCTGCAGTAAAATGATTTTTAATATTTTTTGTTAGTCTCATTTCTAATTTAGGGGCTTTAGGCCAAACGTATTTTTCATGCAGAAAGGTATTTTTTTATATTTTTTTTAGTCCCACACTAACAAAGCTCTGTAGCGCCGGTGCCATGGACACACATACAGACCACCACAAATTACACCCAAACTCACGAGAGAAATAAATATAGGCCATACAAATATTTCTCCTGTCCCGGGAATCGAATCCGAAACCTCTGCGTGACAGTTCTGCATGGTAACCGTTTGGTCACGGAGGCAGTTAAATAATGTCTAATTTTTAAATGGTCTTATATTGCGTGTTAAAAAAAATGCAATACGTGAATGGATTAATGCATTTGTGTTATATATATGCCTAACCTACAAAAAATCCTAGCCTATATCGTGACTGGATCAAAAGTTCCCATTATACTGAAAGCACTACCTCTTTGGATGGCAATGGACACCTGCTGAACCAACCGCGACACAGCGTTGATAAATATCTACTTATATGATATCTACATTTGCGTATGATGATATAAAAGAATCCCCGACATTAAAATTAATGTATTCTGTTCATAACAAAATACAGTGTTTTTCCCGGACTTTAACTTCATTAGTTACGCATGAGAGGATGAAAGAAGATAAACGAGACAGATTAAAGCGAGTATGAGCTAGTAAGTTAGCAAGGTCAAGGTCAACCAAGACGAATAAATTACGATCAAATTCAGGATCTCCTAAAGAAAGGCCAGGTCAAAAGTAACCGTTTCCTCGCCCGCCTCTTAAGGTGACTGTTTGGTAACATATCTCCCCAGAAAGCGAGATGAGGTTCGATGCCCTGTCGAACTGTTCACTATCGGAATGGTGAAAGAATACGAAAGCTTCCTCGTTACTCCGGCTAGTGGTGAGGATAGGAAACACTGTCAGGTTTTAGTCGATAAATAAAGGTCAAAAGTAATCATCGACGTGCGTGAACGAAATCAATGATGTGCGTTGATGAGGCGAAAGACATGTGTCGAGATCCTACCGAGTGGAAGGATGTCGTCTGTGTCGACCCCGATGGAAAAAGGGCGTGTTGTTATTATCACTAAAGTCAACATGTTACGGGTTATTTTTGCCTGTACGGCAACGATGGTCAGCTTGGTTATTAACCAATGGCATTTAAAACCACCTAGATCATATTTATATTATAAACAAAAGGTTCTCACGATTAGATTACCAATAAACGATAGATGTACAGAAGTAATACTGAAAGAAAAACCTAGTAGTAACTACTTCTTTGACTGATTTTTTTTATATCCGTCAATCAAATGTTTTTTAATACAAAATAAGTGACTTACCAATATCAGCGCTATGAGCGACGATGGTATGAGTAGTGGCACTGGAAGTCATGACGAGATACACGAAGCCAGCTAGAGAGAGCAGCAAGCGGCCAGTAGCGAAGCCCACGTAGATGCGGATGGGACCGGGGCGTTTCTGGATAAAAAAACAATAAAATTAAGTACAATATTTTTAATACAGAAACATTAACTGCCTCCGTGGCCGAACGGTTACCATGCCAGAGCCAGCATGCCAGAGGTCCCAGCTTCGATTCCCGGGCCGGGAGAAATATGTGTATGGTCTACATTTATTTCTCTCGTGAGTTTGGGTGTAATTTGTGGTTATCTGTGTGTGTGTCCATGGCACCCGCGACACAGGGTTTCCCTAGTGCGGGGCTATGTTGAGTGTGTGCGGTATTATTATTATTATTAGAGTTTTTTGTGAAAGAATTCGTCCAGAAAAGTTCTGCCATCATGCCTATTTCTGCCACCTAGTAGTAATGTAAACATTACTGCGTTCCGGTTTTTATAATAATAATAATAATTATAATAATAATAATAATTCGTTTATTTGCTTAAAACATGGTGTAACAGAAGATGTTACAAGAGATTGCCAGTACAAACATGTTTCGCATATATTAAATAGCATGCAAATGTCTAGCTATATAATGTCGATCAGACTACCACAACTCAATAATACAAAAATGTCACAAACGTGTCTAGTTACAAATTAATTTGGTCAAGAATGATAATCTTCAAGATAAAATCTTACATCTCATTTTCTGTCAAATATTATATTTATTTTTATTTAACCACTTGTACAGCTTTGTTTTAAATAAACTTAAGTGTAATAGTTTAATCTCAAGTGGTATTTTATTATAGTCAACACACATTTTTAAACAACTTTTACTGTATTTAGCAGTCATAGGAATAGTGTCAAGTACAAGTCTATTCGGGATTCTGCTGAGTCTAGTGTTGACATCACAGGCTTTCTTAAAGAAATATGTATGTTTTCGTACAAAGATACAAATTTCGTATATATATATAATGATGGTAGTGGCAACAGACCAAGGCTCTGAAACAAGGGCCTGCATGTTTCATCCGGGGGAATTCCACAAATTGCTCTAATGCATTCCTTTTGTGCTACAAAAGTTCTGTTTCGATCGGTACTATTTATTACCCCATACTATAAGACCGTAACGTAATATGGATTCTACATACGCCCTATATGTGGTTATGACAGCTTTCTTATTTGTTATATTTTAAGGCATATACCAACTTATTGATTCTAGAACATACATTCTCGACGTGAGTTTTCCAGTTCATTTCTTGATCTATGGTTAGTCCAAGAAATTTTGTGTGGGATACTTCCTGAATTGCATCGACATTTAAATTGATATTATATTTATTATGTCTCGATGTATTAAATTGTATATTTGATTTGTTTAAGTTAATATTCAGATTATTTGAATGTAGTCAATTGATTATTTCAACAATTGTATTGTTTATGTCTAGCTCATTCTTTATTTGTAATAGCTAAATCTCTTTCTAGTTCAGTAATCTTCCGCTGTAAATTAGTAATTAAGTCATTAGTCGCATTTCCGGGTTGCATTCTGGTCTTACATGTTGATGATGATTTAGATGGTGTATAAATGAGGTGTAGCTCTGGGCACTCTATTGACTGTCTTCGCTTTTTAGTTGTGTCATAAAGTTCTCTTTTTTGAGGTGACTGACAAAGTGTTTTCAAGGTGGTTATCTCCAATGTGAATTTATTTATTTGCCTCCGGAGGCCATTATTTTCAATTATTGTATTTTCTAATTCGTATTGCGTACTTGCTAATTCTGATGTAAGTTGGCTTATAGTCTCTTTCATTTCTTGAATTGAAGTATAGTCCGTTATAGTCTCGTGTACACTCCTTGACAGTTGTATGGGTGTGGAGAACGACTCGTCTGATGTGTTTCTGTCCGTTAATACGTGAGAGTCATCTGACCCAGAGTTGTGTACATCATTTGGTGTTAGACGCAATCTGTCAATCTTCGTGGGATTAGTCTGTGGTAAATCTTTATTTCTACGCCTTGTATTATGCGACGTGTAGCTTGTTGAGCCGTGGACTGTGTTATGCATTTCTACATTTCCATTCCTTTCTAAATTCGGATTGTTCAAGGTGGAATACTTTTTTTAGGAAGATCTAAGCAATCAAATTCAAAGTTGTGTTTACAAACGCAACACAAAACTGTATCCTTTCTATCTATAAACTTTTTACATTTATGACATGTCACAAAAGCAGGATTTTTCCGTACGCCACAGCCTGTTGAAACCTTCGATTTAGTAGACATTGTCGTTAAGTATCTTTACTTTAGGGCAATATAAACAATAGTACAATAGAAGAAAAGAAAAAATAATAAAAAGAAAATATAATGCGAAACTGGCAGTAAGCAAACGAGTCAAGTATAACGCACGGTTGCACGGTCTACCGCTGAGCTAACGCTTGCTTAAGATTGTTGGCGAAATAGTCTGATATATATTATGACACCTCTTAATAACTACCGAGCGTCTGATTATTTTATAAATAGATTTCAATACACCACTCATTGTAGGTAAATATCGTCTGATTTCTTTCAAAGCCTGATTGATCTACCAAAACTACTAAGCTTAATGTTTCTCAGGTACTTTCCTTTTCCTTGAAATCCTATGATATTACACTTTTACACAAATGCACCAGGTATAAAAAATATAAAAAATAGACAATTTAAAGTTAGTTTGGACACGATTTCTGCACTTTTACTAATTTAAAGGATTTTTTTAAACTTGGAGCAGTACTTCAAGATGTTCGAGAGACGTTTGTTTGAGGAACGATGACATCTGTTACTTTTAAAGATAAGAGTGCTGGTACTATAAACACATGGGACTTGTCAACTTCGACGGGCGCAATGGCGTCGCTCCTCAGGTCTTTGAGCTGCTCTACAATTATCATGGACAAGCGTATCGCTTGCTTATCATGGAAAAGGTAAATGTGGAATAAGATCAACTCTACGCGTATGATTAAAGTTCAGAATCAAAACCTAAAGCAAATATCATTCAAATCAGTTTAGTAATTTAGAAGAATATGGCGTACATAGAAACATAATAATATGGCATATTCTCCTATATCAGCAACATATACAATGTATCAACTGTGAGGTTCCGAGTTCGATCCCCGGCCGGGACAGTGTAGAAACGAACTTTTCTATATTGTGTCGGGTCTGGGTGTTTGTGGTACCGTCGTTGTTTCTGATTTCAGTAACACAATTGCTTTAGCTACTTACTTTGGGATCAGAGCAACGTATATGTTGTCTAATATTATCAACGTGACCTACGTCGTCGACCAGAGTATCTGGTATATCGATGACGTGGTTTCTCATTTGGGGGCTAACGATCTACTGCTGAAATTAGAAACTACTGTTATGAAACGCTTGCATTACGTGAATAATCATAACACCAAACATCCGAATCACATATCTGTAGATGAGAGTTCAATAACATTAGTCAAATAGTAATTTTTACTACAGAATATTGCACAGAGGCTCAATGCAATGAGGCTCTTAATGAGGCATTTAAAATCGAACTTAAGGTCAAAACAGTATGTTATGTAAAAAACAAACGACGATAGGATTTAAATGTAATAACAAAACATCTTAATTCCAAAATATGGACTTTTACTTACAGAATATTTCAATAAACTGCCATCAATTGACAAATGGTCAAATATCCGTTTTAAATAGCAAAACATAGAGCACAAAATTCTCTTTTAAACAACAAAATTAATTAATGTGTTGGACTTATCGGAACGTACCCTAACGATGCATAGCTGAAATATCATTAAAGAATTTCAATATTCCAAAACTGGGTAATGGTTTTTATGATAGCTGAAAAAATATTTTGTCACAGCCGCATTTTAGTTAGCAGACGGCAGTATAGAACAGTAAATAACAAACAAATATAAAACAACGATAGCATAGCAAAAGAATGGACAATAAAACAGTTGTAGCTAAATTATTCTGTAGATGATTTGTGTCTGGCGGATATGTTGAGCGATAAAGACAACAATACGTGTCACACGTTTGACTGTGGGTGTTCACACGGTCACGTTGAATTTCAAAATGATATTGTGTTCATGTTAGTGCCGGGTATAATTAGTCTTGTTAGTTATCTAGCACTGGAAGTTGATAGCATTGTTAGTTGTTTATTTCAAACCATGTAGCTGAATTGCAAATTGGTCAAAGAATGTTACAAGTTTAACAGACCAGGAGAGCTGGCATGCTCAGGGGAGGTTCATGTCCAGCCATTTGATGCATGTAAGTTAATGATGATTTTAAAGTTTTACCCGTAAATACTGTTTTGACAGCCTATAACATAGACTTCTGAAATTGACACGTTTATCATGTGGATTCCTACGAGAAGTGAAAAAACTTGATAATGAACACTTCTTTTGGATTTAAATCGAGTATAGGTATATGTTTTTTAAACAATCCCAACGTTTTGGGCCATGGGACCTGTAAAGAACCCGTAACGTTGATTTGATAGAAAATAATAAATATAAATGAGATTTAGGCGATTCAAGGACTTAAGTCGCCCAAATTTTTTTACTGTGGGTATTGGATGAGGATGCTCCGGGTTCCATTCTAAGTGAGACCAAATCGGGAAATGAACTTTCCTAATTTGGTTCTGGTCTAAGCGTTCTGGGAAGAGCCCTAGAATGAATTTCCATGCTCTGGTACTCATAGTACAAGGAATGCCATACTTTTAGACCAAAAATAAGTAGTTTAATTTCCCGGTGTATAATCGCGAAAACCTTAGAATAGAATATAATAGACTGATTTATTTCAGACAATGATCCGTAGTAATGTTATAATTACTATGGTTAGTACAATACTCGACTACTTCCGTGGCTGGGCAATTACCACGCAGAGGTCCATGGTTCAATTCCCAGGCTAGGAGAAAAATGTGTATAGCCTACATTTATTTCTCTCGTGAGTTTGTATGTAATTTGTGGTTGTCTATGTGTAGTCCATGGCACCCGCGACACAGGTTTTCCCTAGTGCGGGGCTATGAGTGTTAATGCGTTATTATAATTCATGCAATACAATTTATAAAACAGAGAAGTGCAAAATAATAAACCTCTATAAAAGCAAATAATAGCAACCACAACGCTCTATCCTTGAAATGCTGGCTTTGACCCAAAGACACGAAAAGTATTTGTAACACTTTGTATGTAATAAATAAATGTACAGTTGCAGTTACTTAGCTGGCCTATGTCCAGGATGTCATTAAGGACCTTACTTTGCCAACGCGTTTTGTTTATAGCTCTCACATCCTGAAACGTTCTTGGACTTAGTTATTTTTATTGCTGCCTTCACGCGTTTTCGATTAAATTAGTGAGACCACAACTTTGTTGCTGTGGGCGAGTTTCAGGAAGTTTGAAAACATTCAAATAATTCCATTACCTTTCAGACGTATTGGTGGTTCCTAGTTAAGAACTCGGCTACCAAGTCTCTCTAAGTATTAAATTGCAATTTTACTGCGAATGGTGTGGAATTTGGTTCATAGATGAATCCCGTACATTCCATACGTAACCAACTTAGTACATGGTAAAAATGATTCTAGATATCTAATACAAACTATCATTATCACCCTATAGCAGTTCACTGCTGGACATAGGCCTCTCCCAATATCCGCCATTTCGATCGGTCCTCAGCTTGTCGCATCCATCTGCTGCCAGTAGCCTTTCACAGATCGTCATTCCATTTGGCCAGAGCCCTATATTATGTTTAGCGAGCCGTGGTCTCCCCACAAACTCGCTTCGCTCATCGATTATCGGTTTTTCGACAGATATGGCCAGCCCACTGCCAGTTCAGCTTACTTATTCTTTGTCGACGACTTTAGTTCTCTATCGGATAACCTCATTTCGATTCTTATCCTTCAGAGAAACTTCGAGCTTATCTCGTTCCATAGCTCGCAGAGCAACTTTTAACTGGTGGGCAATAAACTAACCTTATGCAGTCCCACGAGACAAGCGACGTTGATCATGAGCCACGCGACGTTGGCGCACAGCACAACCATGAGCAAAACTCCAATCTGGTTAAGGAATGGTTTCTCAACCGACTCGATATTGGGAACCTCGTTGAGAACTTCATGAGGACCATCCGAGTCAAAGTGATCAAAGCCGTGGGTAGATATGCCGATGTAGGTGGTGAGCGTGAGAAGAGCAAGAGTGTGGAAGGTGTTGAAGACCTGCAAATAAATGAATTTTGTTTAATAGCCAGTACCACAACATTGCACCTATGAATCTCTTTGGAGCATGTACAATGCATCCCTTGCTTTAACTGTGATTTAATAACTTTATTCATAATCATTAACAAATAGTAGAGAGATTAGTTATTGATGGATTTTTGACCCCTCAAGCAACAACTATACCTCACAAAAAATGTACCTAAGTATGTTATGTGTCAGTGGTTGCTATTATAGCGGACAAGAATCAATCGCATGTTTAATAACATTATGATTTTTCAAGTATGCAAAAAGGAAACAAATCGTAAAGCAAAAAACAAAACATCATCACATGAAACCTGCTTCTCGGAAAAGGTTCAAATAATTTTATTTGAAAACATCTGAAGCCACATTGGACAATTGTGGCGATCTGTTGATTTCTAGGAAATCCATGCTCAACGTATTTAAGATTTACTCACTAAATTTAGGTATCCCAAAATGAAACACCCAGTCCTGAGAGGAATGCAGCAGCAGCATTTTGTGAAGAGCGCTTCGGACCGCACGGAGTTAGTAGACATGCTAAAATAGAAAATAAGCAATGCATGTAAGTTTCATGTAAAATAAATAGAACAAGATTAGCGTAATCTTTTTAATTTTTCAGAATTCCATCTTGTAATACATCATCGGTCACATTTAACGTAGTGCTAGTAAACCCCAAAAACAACGCAAGGTTCTTTTTTATTACAAAATTTTTCTTTAGGCATGATAACCGTTCGGCCACCAAGGCCGGAAATTTTTGTAAACATTACGTTGTATTATTATGAATTCGAACTTTATTTTGTATTTCATTTAATTTTGGATATGTTTAACAGGTAAAGTAAAAAAGACAATAAAAGCTTAAATACTAGAAAGTAAAACTAGGATTTTTAAATTATATGAATAAATTGGGTCCCCGCGGCAAGGTGCTCAAGATGCTGGCTTTTTTAATTTATGTTAGCAGAAATATAGACAGAAGAATATTAATCCAATTTTCATTTATACTCTCTAATTTTTTGTTCCACTAATAAGTTTGTTACATTGAATTCTTAAATTTTCGTAATGACTACATACTGGAAATGAAGGTATTTTTTGGGATCTAATTCGCTGTATTTGATTTTTCAAGTAACCCAACGTTTCGGACCCTTTACAGATCCCATGGACCACTAACCATGGACTCATGAAGTCAGCCGTGACTGTAAAGAACCAAGTAAGTATACGCGATACACATAGATTCAAAAAATAGCTTTATTTCAAACATTTGTTATATTTTTCCAGACATCTGCAGCAAAATCAAAATTGCGATTTGTTTTTCTTTTCCAATAACCTGAGATATTTTCATCATTACCTGTTTGTTTGTGTCTACTTATTCATGGTTATCTGATTTGACGGATTGCCGAGTTCGGGGAAGAAATTGGCCTGTATTGTGATTATAGTATTTTTAGAATTTCCTCTGATGAAAACTGCCAAATAGACATACGATTATAAGATAGTATGGCTAGTTATTATAACAATTTATGTTATTGAATATCATGATGTTTAAAACTATACTATGTGAAAATATTACACTAGTTTTTTTGCAGAATACGTCTCTGGTTCGTGTCCAGCCGGATTGAAAGGATATTTCTTTGTGTTTGTTTGATCCTCGTATCAATAATAATGTATTTAATTTTTTCTAATTTCCTTTTAATACGTGAATTTGATTGAGAAAAAAATCGTAATTGTTAAAATATTTTGCAAAACGTACATGAAGTTAAATTAAGGAATCGTATATATTATAGGTACTATACGTGATACATTCAGATTAAGGTTTCATGTAATATCAGCCAAAACTGGTTGATGACTAATGCTTTCTTAGTCAGCCGTGACCATAGCATCTGCAAAAACTCCGAAACGTTGATGTATTGGTGATTTTTTAATACAATCTCCAAATTCAGCTGTTTAATCATTAAAACCACTATGGCAATTTAACACAGTTACGAAACGAGGTTAAAAAATAATTACTATTATGTCATATTAGATTCTGGGTTGAATTGTTAATGCAATCTTCGCTGTAATACGAAATTTATGCAAAAAAGTAGACAAGTAAATAATAATAAAAGAACGAAGCTAGTCTATTTGCATTTAGATATTTCGTTACAGTTTACATTTATTTCT